TTTTCATACAAAACAGCTTTACTGCCCGAAAAAATATGCCTTCATCCTTTACCCATCTCCTGATCTCTTGGCAATTACCTATATTTTCACTGTATAGTTTTGACTTTCCCAGACTGTTGTGTCGTTGATCTCACATAGTATGTAACTTTGAACTTTATATCTGTTGTATGACTTTTTCCCCCACTAAATTACATGACTCTCATAGGAGTAGAACCGAGATTCTTCTTCCCCCATAACCTCGTAAATGGTTATTGATACACAAAAGATTTACATATGTTCTTTGGGTAAATCCATGGCCCCCTTTCTTCCTCAGTTGACATGGTTTATATACTCAAGCACTAAAGAATGCTCTATTTTACCGCTGTTCCTTTGTTTCTTTTCCTGTGGAGTTGTCCTTTTATGTAGTGTTGTCTACTTTTTGTCATTATCAAAACTCTGTCCACATTCTTTTATAATACCTTTGTCCTTATGCTGTTAATGCCTTTTAAGTTAATGTGGTTTTTCCATTTTTCATTGGATTTAGGGAATAAAAATTAAAAGTTTTTCTGTTCCCTCAAATTGTAATAATGCCACTTGCAAAACTGCCACATGAAACTACTCTATGTTATCTTTGAGTTATGGTGGTTTAGAAGTAGATTTAGATTGGTTTACAAATACCTGGTAATACATAGCTAGTTTAAGTTTAAATGTCACATATTCATAACCATTACTTTAAAATATGTTTTATAATTTTAGTGGTTCACATACAGAATGAGGGAAATCATACCTGTCTTTCGTGAGAATAGAGCTTGGTCTCATTGAGATATTATGCCCGGCTTCAGTCACTTGGTGGCAGTGACCCCTAAATAGGAAGCGTTTAGAGTGTTGCCCTGCTAAAAATTGGCAGATTAGTTAAAATAACTATCGCCGTATACATAGGTAGCTAGCTGAGAACAGATTTAGCTTAGAACAGAAAATATGTTTATATATCGAGCTATGAAATTTTGCAGATTGGATTCCATTTGGTAGTGACTTTTTTTGGTAAGGTTCTGTGTTGTTTTTTTTTAATGCTTAAAAAAGAAGTCAAGTATGTTGGCTCTCATATAGACTATTACTAATTACTAATTAGCCTGATTTCTTGGTCTTTATATACCATATTTCTCCCATAGTAATCATGATAGATAAAGCACTTGGAAAGCTAAATAATCGGTGCCTTGGGAGTTAAGGTCTTCTGTTGCAATGGTGCTCAGTAGATGAAATCTAGTGTATAGTGATGCTGTCTTAGTGTGGAGGAGGACAGGGTAGAGCAACGTAATCAGGTAAAGCTCGGTTAAATCTCTAAGGCAAGCACATTTAACTGGTTCTTCACACTCGACTAAAGGATCTTGAACGTGTGTGAGCAAGAAAAGACGAAGTCTCTCCCAAGATAGCCTGTCATTCTTGCCCTTCAGAGGGTTTTATTTTTTTCTTTTGCTCAACTTTTTATTGTGAATTGGGTGAAGGTTTACAGAGCAAATCAGATCTCCATTCAGCAGTTCATGTACTTTATATTTTTTTGGTCATTGAAAGCATTCTTCACAATGTAATATCACTTACACCACCTCTTCCCCATCTAAATTTTCTCCTTGGATAAATGCTGCCCTTTTAGCAAAATTGATCCATGATTCTAAGGTATACATACCTCCCTATTGTTATTGTGTCCTTGATAGCTGTCTTATTGTTTGGCTAAAATTTGGGCCCTGAAGATGAGTTCATTTCCAGACTTGAAGGATTACTAAAAGTCATAGTCTTCGGGGTTCCATCAGTCTTTATATAACCTGATCTTTTTGAGTATTGCTCCACATCTTTCTTCTGTCTACCCAAGCCCGTCTAACATCACTCCTTGCAGAGCAGTTGGTAGTGGTAGATGCGCATCATCTGTCTACTAGCCGCAGGCGGTGGAAGCTGAGGGTCACGTGCTTCATTAGTCCATTGGACTAAATTTTTTCTTTGCATCTCTGATTTTCTTCATAAGCCTTTCCTCTGGTTGCGGAGAAACCAATAGTTGAATCTCAAATGGCCACCCACAAGCTTAGCCCCGGTGTCTGCTTACCAAAGCAGGATGTAGAGTACTGCCTTTGTGGAGGTGTTTTGCTCTTATATGCCCAAGTCTCTTTGCTACTGCTTTGTGATCTGAAGACTGTAAAAATTGGTAATGTATCATTTTTAGTAAAATTATTTTAAAAGAATAAAGTTGGAAACTGAAGGATGTCTGGAATAGATAGCATGCAACTATGTCTATAGATATTTCGAGTCTTCTCTGTGCCAGGCAGTTTTGAAACCTGGGGTTATCATGGTGAATATAACATAAAACTAGGTGGGCTTATTTGCATATTTAGAGCAGATTATAAATCGGAAAGACCACACTGTTGCTCTTTGTGAGGCAAGATAAATTTTACTATCCTTTAGATAAAGATGTTTGTCATTCTGGCCTAAATAAAGAAGAAAAAGAATTTGTAAAATGCCCAAGAATTTGGCTTGTCTTTGGTGTTATAAAAGTACTAGGTTAAAAAAAAAAAGGTACTAGATTTTTTTAGTCTTTACATTCATTAGTCTGTGCAGTTGTTTCATCCTTAATATCCACCTGAGTTAAGGCTTGAATTTATAATCAAAGGCAACATTGCTTCTAGTGCCAGAAAACAATGGTCTAGAACTTAATTCTCTTCACAATGGGGCTTTGTACAGTCAAGGATTACATCCCTTTCACATTAAGCTATTTGGGACAGCTTTGTTCCCCACAGAGCCTCTCCTTGCAGTTGCTATGCCACGTTAGTTATTTTGGCACTTGGATCGTCTCATTTTGTTATCAGCATGTGGAAAAAAAATACCTGGTGTTACCAGGTTTTTAGTTCTTTAACATTTTTCTTTTGTCTTATGCTAAGAATGCTTTGAATCATAGTTTAAAATTTGTTGGTTTTGTTTTTGCAGTGTTGACTTGCATATTATTAGGTGGTTGGAGGAGTTGAGAAAATTTTTAACTGAATGGCCAGGGATGAAACTTTCCACCCTCACTGACTCTCTTCAGGAAGCTGTGACACCCACTTCCATTCTCCTGCCAAATGTTTCCCTCTGTGACTGTGGTGTATAGTCTTTGAAGCACTGTTGACCATGTTGGCAGCTTGCCCAGAACCCAAATACCCCGTGTAATTTGCATAATAAGTGCTGTTGATTTACATACAGTATAGGCCCAACTGTCTTCCTGAATTTAAAGTTTAAGGGGAAAAATAAAAAGATTAAAGTCTTTTTTTTCCATACCTATTTCCTTTTTTTGTCTTTGTTTGAGAAGAGATCATAGCTGTGTACTTATAGAACGGAATTACTTTTCACAGCCCTTTATGTTTCTTAAGAGGTTTCCCAGATTTCTCTACCCTGTGTCAAATGCAGTGTCTTAGATGTGGACTCTGTATGCCACCACCTCCATCAGTCACTTCTCCCGATCGTCCAGATCTTACCTCATAGTATCTTAACTTTCCATCATAGTATTTCATCATACTTTTCATAATAAGTAAAGCAAGGGGGCATTTGTAATTTATACCCAGTCACATGTCTCATTTAAGAGACAGTTCAGTGTTACATGTTGAATAAATAGTTAACATGTTGAAATACATAGGTTTCTTTCCCCATAACCAGAACAGGTCCACAATCTTGTTAACCCTTACCCGTCTTTCATTTGTTTACCCAGCAGATGTTTAATGTTTTTAGCCATAGATTAGGAGTCTTAGAATAACTTGGACCGAATGACACTTCAAATTCTACTCTAGGAAGGGTACAGAATTTAGTCTCCCTGCCCCCTGTTGAAAAGGGGGAGGGGAGTTTAATAGGTAAGTATTATATTTATGACAGTATAATGTCTCCCGTTCATCTTTATGTTTACAAGCTCAATTCCCCAGCCCTATAACCAGAGGGATACATGTTTTATCCCTACTTTCAAATAGTTTTATGCATACATAAGCAAATGTGAACATATGTTCCTGCCTGTGCTCCCTTGCATATAAATATTGGCAAAAACCTAATATTGGGGTCTAGCCTTGGTTGTTGTTTTTGTTTTGTTTCTTTTAAACAAGTTCTGACTCTCCGTATAGGTACATAGCTTTCTCATTTTATCACTGAATGATACTGTGTGGTCCTTTATTTGTCATGAGATGTTTAACCACTCCATTGTGATGATGCTTGTGTCTAAAATGTAGACATTTGCCTTGCTTTTGTGGGAATTTGACATTGAAAATGGACAGAACACCTAGGGTTCTTTTGGAGGGCAGCCTGGCAGGGGACTAATGTCTGCCAGCTCACAGGGTGTCATTCGTTCGTTTTACCCATTCTGAGCCACATGATAGCTTGCTTTTTTCTCACTGAGCTTTGTTTGAATGTGTCTCAAAATTCTGTGACAAATTTTTGATCAAGTTGTTTTCCATTTAAGAAGTACTGGTTTTAAAGACTAATAACTTTAAAACTGCCACATGTAAAAGAAACATGGTCTACAAAGCATTCCAGCCCTTTACTATTAAACTTCAGTGACCATTTGAGACACAGTTTTGAGACCATTCGTCCACCAGTGATTAAGACTGGGGTGGCAGGTGATTTGAATAATATTCATTTAGCCTTGTGAGCAAACTTGGTGACCTTGCCAGCTCCGGCAGCCTTTCTGTCCACTGCGTTGGCAACACTCACAACTGTCTCACAGCAGGAACCAAAGGCACATGGTCTGAGAAGCGCTCCATACTCGTGGGCTTGTCAGAAGCCATGTCAGTGATGGCAGTATCATCAGTCTGGCTTCCTCCACAAACTTGCAAGCAAGAGCCACATTGTATTATCTATAATTAATGATAGCATTACAGGGTTTTTTTAGGGTTGAGATTATTTAGGGGAAAGATAGTGCATAATCTCTGGTGGCCATGTTTGCATTAAAAGGCATCTTTCAAATTGTGTTTAATTCATGTTTTAAAAACTGCTTTCTTTTGTGTTTGCCTTTTTTTTAAAACTAGATCCTTACAATAAATGAGGATGGATCACTTGGTTTGAAAACCCCTAAATCTCATGTTTGTGAACACTGCAATGCTGCCTTTAGAACGAACTATCACTTACAGAGACATGTCTTCATTCATACAGGTATTTCTTGAATTAAAATGCTTGTTGACATTAAAATTATTATCTTTGCAGTTTTCATTTCTGTAAATGTCATTCATTTCTAAAACCAAAAATAACCGGGTAGTCCAAATCAGAGCTTTCATTGGCCAGTGTCAGAAGGAAACATCACACTGTTTGAATTAGAAAATGATGCGCGTCGATGTGCAAAATTGATAAGATAGCCACGATCAGGACAACCTGTTGCCTTGCTGTGCTCTTTAATTAAAGACATTATTTTAAAGTGCACTATTACAAGTTTGTTAAACGTTTGTTTTTCTGTGCAAGTCAGCCAGGTAGAGCTTCACAAATGATGAGTCAGATCATGAAGTTGTAGAGACTGTTGAAGTAAAGAGCAAGGAGGTAGCGTGAGTAACTTGGAAGAAAGCGGCGTGTAAAGATTAAGCCACAACTGCATGCTCAGGACTGGGTAGACTACTCTTTATGAAGGTTCTGCGGTAAAAGGGAACAATCTTTGGAAGCATGACTGAGGTAGGAGAAATTTAGGATTGTAAGGAAGTTTCTCAGCTTAAAGGAAACCTAAGAATACTTTAAAAGAAGCGGCTCTAGTAGAGAAAGAATGCTTAATGAGACTAAATTTCTGTTTTAAAAATGAGATGCTTAAATTTTGAAGGTTCTGAAGAAGCTATACGTGAAAGAAAATAAAGGCATGGTTATCCGTAGACAAGAAGGAAAAAGTAATAGTTAAGACATACCAGACTTCCTTCTGGCCCTGGGATTTTTAGAAATCTGTTTTAAATTGTTTTGTTTGTTCTTTTCCTAAAAGATATAGATCCGATTGAATCTCATTTTTGTGTGGTTATCAGAATGTGAACTTAAAGGTATTTTGGGGAAATTTGCAAGGAAACAAAATTCTCTTAATGAATAATATCAAAAGTTTGTATAATTTGGAATTCCCCCAATCCTGGGTTTGTAAGTCTTATTTTTCTTAGCAATAGTGACTATAAACTTGTTTTATCCAGTAACTAATTTATGGATGTGAAATTATTTTAAGGTGAAAAACCATTTCAATGTAGTCAATGTGACATGCGTTTCATACAGAAGTACCTGCTTCAGAGACATGAGAAGATTCACACTGGTGAGTGCTGATCCCCTTACCAGGGTCATTAAAATTGATCCCCTTACCAGGGTCATTAAAATTGATCCCCTTACCAGGGTCATTAAAATGCCATTTCAGTTGGAAGGAACAAAATAAGTACCTACATTGTTTTAACTTGCATCTCATCTTTTTACTCCTTAAATAAGTCAATGCTAACTGTAAAGACTTGGCTTTAGTGTCCAAGCTCAAGAAAATATTTTGAAATAGTTTCATAATAATGTAAAATAGACACTTAAAATTACTAGAGAAGGAAACTTTTGTGAAATAACTGCGTAGAGTTTCTTAAAAGTTTAAAGTAGGTACATTATTCACATGCACTAACCTGAGGGAAGAAGTTAAAATGCCTGAGAATGGGTACAGTGTGCTTGCTTGGTTGGGTTGGTCTTCCCCCTGTGGTGGACAAAGTTGACTTTACTGGTGATGTAACCTTCTAAAGTTGGGAACCTGCAGTTTCTCAGTCAGGTTGTTGGTGTTTTCGGAACTTGTATTTTGGAAGATTGCTTTATTGTAAAGGGACTCGTTTTAAAACTTTAAGTCATGTTATAATGAACTTTTATTTGAATTCACTTTATTCCTACTGACAAATACTAAAACTAAGTTTTATAAGTAGCCTGGACGTAGTAGACCCAACTGACTTTTGACATCTCCGGGTAATGGTGGAGGAGTGGTTCCTTAGACTCGATTTCTAGTGGTTCGGCTTTGTGTGACACACTCAAAGCCGAAGCTGTGCAACTCTGACTCTTATATTTAAATGCCATTGAGATTGATGGTGGTCATATGTGAATATCAAACATATCACGGTGTTCCATAGTTCTTTTCAGTATTGCTTTTTTAGTTGTGTTCCCACGGTATTTGCAGTACCTGGGAGAGGCGAGCTTTCGGCAGTGTGTCGTTATAGACACAGCTTTCTCTTTGCTTTACGTGCTGGCTGTAAACCACAGGTTAGCAGTTCAAAAGCACCGCTGCTCCGCGAGAGCAAGAGGAGGTTTTCTACTTTTGTGAACATGTGTAGCCTGGAAAACGCACAGGCGCAGCTCTAGTGTGTCCTCTAGGGCCATTATGAGTTGGCATCTGCTCAATGGCAGTAGTTTAGATGTTGGGTTTGTTTCTTTTTCAGAAGAAAAGGTACTTTTTTGTCTAGAGGATGATCCCTGAAATTCTGATCAAAGATGTCTTCCTCTATGTATGTTAAGTGCCCTTGCTTTTTCAGTTCCTTGCAACCCAGTGGCAGTCAGTTTGGTTTGGTGTTTCAATGGTTATGAAGCAAGCCTTTTCTCCCACGGACCCTCAAACTGTCAACCATGCTCCTGCCGCTGCCTTGGTTGGCTTTTGATGTGACCATTTTACTGTAAGGGAACCCCAGTTTAATCACCATGGGAAGTGTAGGGATATGGACATTAGAGACATGAAATAGAATGTTTCACGGTCTCAGTTTTTTAAAACCTCCTAAATAGTCAGCAACAGGATACCTATCCCAATGGTCTGTTTATTTTATAGTAGATCATTGTTAATTTTTATAATGTTGGTAGCTTTAATCGTTTTGTAGTTTTAGTAGAAATGCTAAGAGAACCATTTGCATATATAGGTAAATTTGTGATATAAACAACCCCTACTTCCCCCCCAAAAATGGGGGGAAAAAAAAAGAGAGAGTCAAAGGGATGAGGAAAACTGAAGCAGGGCATTCAGGGTTTAGCATATTTGTTTAGGTTTTCGCTCTTAGTTTTTGATCTGTAACATTTTATAGACACAAATACAGTTTTTTGACACACTGGAAAGCACATCTTCTATGTCAGGATTCTTCATGCCTGGTATCATATGCTGATCCTCTTTTACTCTCAAATATGACCAACTTACCACCATGTTAAATAGCTGAATAGTAGCATTATTGTAAAAAACCAGTTGGGCTAGTAGGGTGGTGGCAGAGAAAGTGTTGATTCACCTCTGACCTTGCTCAACATGTGTTTCTCCCAATACGTTGCTATTAGTATAAGTTACAGATTATTCCACCCCACCCCCCACCACCAAAACAAAATCAACCTTGATATCGTTTTTCAGCCATTAGAAAAGTATTATTAAAAAAAAAAAGAAAAGTATTATTAAATGAAGATGTTATGGACCTTGTTAGGGATTATCTCTCATTTGTAAAGGTGAAGGAACTGAATACCTACCTCTTTTTGGCTACTGAGCGTAGCTGTGAGCTCCTGGCGTGGTGGTCACTGAAACCCAAACAGCACTGGCATGGACAGTACCTGCCGAGAGAAAGGCAGCTTGGAAGTGCACATTGCCAAGACCGGCAGCCTTTGCTTTAACGGACCCGTCATGATCCAGATTTTCTTTCTCTTGTCCTCTACAAAGCTCTTAGTAATTCATTCTAAAAGTTTCAGTTTATGAAAAGTACTTGGAAACCACGGGACACAAAACAAAACCCAAAAAATTACGTTTTCTGGACTTTGGGTCATCTCATTGTTGATTAGTATTGAAAACACTAATTTTAAGAAAAAAATATAAATGTATTGAGTATCCATTGATAATTAAATATATTGAGAATTGTCTCACTTTATCTTTTCAACAGTTGTATGAGAAGGGTAGTATTCCTATTTAATAGATTAGGAAATTCAGTTCAAAATTCTTAAGGTATTTGTCCCAATGTGTACAACTCATTAATGACAGCGTCCAAGTCTTCAAAATTGATACCCTTAGCCTTCAGAATTCTGGTGCCAACCGTGGAGTATTGTAGTGTGTTAGGTAAGCAGAGTCAGTCCTGGACTCTTCTTTGGCCTCTGGGGTATTCGGGTATGCCTGGTTGGAATGAAGAATGGGTGCCTGGGTAGAATGTTCTAGATGGTAGGGAGTGAGCAAGATGGTATGGGGTATGTATGATGGGCAGTACGTAAGTGACCATGACACCATATTGTAGATGGGATTTTGTTGGAACAATACAGTTTCTTCCTTGAACACAAATACCTGTAAGCCTTTGAAGTTAACTTCTTGACAATAAAACTTACTATTTTGTAACCCAGTTGGATGGTCACCAAAGTGCTTGCCTCATCAAGAACATTCTTTTTTAGTTTCCGTATATAGACTTTTTAGTGTTACTATCTCTGGAAGAGTTTTTATATTTCAAAAGTGACTTATCATTTTCACCCTTGCTTGAATTTTATGACAGTATATTGGTATTGTTTTCTTCTTTGAAAATAACCCCCATCATAGCAGCTTTTCATGGTTTGTGACTGGTTTTGCTCTGCTGTGGATGCTTTTTGCTTCATAGCCCATGCTTTGTCAGATTTCAAGTACGTATGCCCTTATTTCCTTCCTGTCTTGTTCTCAGAGACAGAGTTGTAGGATAGAATATTCCATAATCAAGATCTGAAAACCATTGTTCCATAGAAGTCTCACTCCTTTCATTTAAACTGATAGTTTTTAGCTGTATTCTTCTTTGAAATGGCTTTCATAATTCCTTTATTCCATTTTAGTAGGTTTATTGGTACAGTCTTTTATCACTTAATAAAAATATGCTATGATAGTGCCATTCCTAAGAAATCTCATTTTAAAAACAATTATTTAATGAGTGGTGGGGGGAGAAAGACTGTGATTAGTTCCAGAAATGGTTGCTTTCCTGCAGGAATTAAAAATGTGTAATAGTTAATCAATTAGATCTGGAACCCAGACACTGCTGCGTAAGTAAGTCTAGGTGCTTATAGAAGAAGTAGCTTTAACTTCTAATTTAGCAGAGTTAGGGATTCAATGTGAGCTGCTAAGTATGGTATACAGGAATATACCAGCTGTGTCAGGCTGGGTTCTTTAGAGAAGCCAAACCAGTGATGCTTATATATAAATACATATAAAGGAATACATGCATATTAAAGTGACTCTCACAGTTATAGGATCGTGGCTCAGATGTTAAACTGGTGGCTTTTCCTGACTTGCATAGCTGCCTAGAAGCAGGAAGGCGAAACAGGAAGACCACAGCTAGTGGATGAATCCAAGATTGCCAGGTCAGTTGTTAGGCTCTGATGACTCCCAGGATTGGTGGGCAATATGGCAAGCTGTTGACTCAAGTTCGAAGAACTAGAGATTTATGAGCCAGATACAGGATAAATGCTGAAGTTATAAAGATCTTGGGAATCATCAGATTCAGTGTTGTATGAATCAAAATTACCTTTGAGCTCTTTGAAATATAAATTTCTGGACCAATACTCCTCCTTGCTTTAAATAATTTAATTCTCTGGGCTATACCTCATATTCTATGTACATTTTACTTTTCCCGTCATACCCACTACTTTTCCCCACCTCTGAGGGTTTTGTGTGTGTGGGTGTGTGTGCTTATTTTAATTTAATTGACGAACGTTGAAATCAGGAGAACCATATTCTGGTTGTGACATAGGAAATTTTATTTTCCCCAGAGTTTCTCTTAATCCTTACTCGTTTATGTCACCTCACCACCAAATAGCAGACCACTGGTGTGGTTCTGATCTATTCTAACTTACATTAGTATTGTCTCTTCTAGTCTTTTAAAATAAATGTATACATATGATATGTTCTGATTGGTTTTCTCCTTTTTCTCCACTTGGTTTATGAGGTTCAACTTCACTGTATGTATCACAGCTCTAGTCTTTGTGTTGGTATGTATGATACCTGGTGTGAAAGTACAAAAATTTGTTTATACATTTGACGAACATTTGAATTTCCAGTTTTCAGCTATTATGAATAAAACTACTTTGAACACTTTTGCTCAAATTTCTTTAAAGGCATGTATTTTAGATTCTGCTTTCTACAAGCTCTCCAAGTGATTCTGATATGCTTTGCGACAGTACTGCAAACAAGTTTGATTTAAGCTATTGTTGTATTTTTATGGAAACTTTCCTCTTTAATTTTTTCATCATTTATCATTTTTTAAGTTTGTGGTGAAAATATACACAGTAAAATAAACACCATTTTAACAATTCCTGAAAAAATAATTCACTGGCATTTATTACATT